TCTCTGTTTCTACTTCCTGTCTTCTCTGTTTCTGCTTCCTGTCCTCTCTGTTTCTACTTCCTGTCTTCTCTGTTTCTGCTTCCTGTCTTCTCTGTTTCTACTTCCTGTCTTCTCTGTTTCTGCTTCCTGTCCTCTCAAACTCAGCTGGTTGAAGCAGATGGCCGCTCATCCTGAGCCTGGTTCTGCTGGAGGTTTCTTCCTGTTAAAGGGAGTTTTTCCTTCCCACTGTCTCCTTTGGGCTCGCTCAGGATGGGAGACTGTGATGAAGTGAAGATTCAACTCGATCTGCTGCTTCCTTAGATACAGACATTTTACTAATTGTTTTTTTATGTATATGAGTGTTTTTGTTCAGTGTCCTGAGACGACGTGTGTTGAGACTTGGAGCTACAGAAATAAACTGAATTTAATTTAATTTAAAGCGACATTGACCAAAACTTGGCTGCATGTTTATTGTGGCAGAGTTTGGATTTAGGCTGAAGGGGGATTTCAGTTGCTGGGTCAGTGGATTATCTTGTAATAGATCTGCTGGAGCACACAGGATGTGTGTGTGTTTGGTTAATCCCTCATACGAGTGCTCACTCCTGTGGTTTGTAAGGAAGCCTGAATCTGAAAGGACTTGATTTTCCACTGACGGCCTTGTTGTTGTTGTTCTCTCTCTCAGGGTGAACGATGAAGAGCCCGGGCCTCCTCCTCCTCATCATCGTCATCATCTGAACATGCTGCTCAGCTAGTCAAGACAACAGGGGGGCGTCGCACCTCTCACTAAAACACAGAGTCGTCTACGTACAGGCACAGCCATGCTGATAAAGGAGTATCGTATCCCCATGCCCATGAGCGTGGAGGAGTACCGCATCGCTCAGCTCTACATGATCCAGGTGAGAGCATGAAATTTATTAATGACCTCACTCGTACCAAGTGAGAGCATGAAATTTATTAATGACCTCACTCGTACCAGGTGCGAACATGAAATTTATTAATGACCTCACTCGTACCAGGTGAGAACATG